TCAGATGAATCCATGCATTCCAGGTCCAATTTACTTGGATTCACTGCCCTGTGGCCTATAGAACATTCCTGGGCTCCCAACCTGTGAGAGGCTAATGACATTTTTATTACTGAGTTTTCTTGTGTAAAAAAACTATATGACATAGACTTAGGAGCCTTTCTTCAGCATTGCTTCCAAATCTTAAGTTAAGAACTTGCCTTCAGGAGATTAAATTAAAAATATGTTTGGCTTTTTGTTGTTCTTTTATTTTTAGAGACAGAATTGAAGTGTGTGTGTGTGTGTGTGTGTGTGTGTGTGTGTGTGTGCATACATTTAAGGACATTAAATTAAGTAAAACACCAGATAAATAAAACTTAAAAGACTTCATAATTTGGATCTTACTTTCTCAAAGAACACACATTTCATGGTGGTAAATAAAAATTCATGGCTTACGAGAAAGCAAAATTTTGCTAAAAATAATATACATGGATAAACACATATCCATTTACACAATTCATGATGCATTTGTATAAGTATAGATATGTACATTTTAAATATTACATAAAATAGGGAAATTTTTTCAAAATGGTAGAAGTGTATTATTTAGTCCTTTCATAGACACTCTGATACACCTGTGTATTATAAAACATAACACTATATGTCTATTTTGGACTATCAGAATCTTATGTTGTATATTACATGGCAACACTGCTGGAAATGTGGAAGAAGTAAAAAGTGAAAAGAAAACACAAATTCTCTTTTCACGAACAAATTCTTAGACATCTGTATTCAAGAAAATTTTGTCACTTCTATTCTGATAAAACTGTACAAATATTAGTTTAATTTTGGGAGGTGGTTACATGCAGAAGGCTCCAAAGAGGTAATAGTGCGCTTGTGAAGTTAAGCTGAGAGTTTCGGTTACAAGGTAAAGTGGTGTACACTGAAATAAGGGCAAATTCTAATTAAGAGTTTCATCTTTTCAAGCAAATTACAATCTATCATTCATTACTACTGTGAAAGTTACTTGTCTCAGATAGATATACTCTAATGTTTAACTGGCATTATATTCACTAATTTAAGTGGATTCCATTCAGAAATAAATGGTACTAGCTTACATTTAGTATGCAAAAAAATATAAGGAAGCGATCATCATGAATCAACATTCCAGCAAGTAATTATGGAACCTCTATCATGTCACAGGCATATAAAACTGAGTTTTAAAACAAAGCATTAAGAAAAAAAATAACTGAGGCCTCTAAAACTTTCCAGAAGATAGGATACACAATGGAGAAGGCAGCAAAGATTCTATTAGATCACTAGCTCAAGTGAGGCAGGAAAATTTAGGGAACAAGCCCTGGAGTCAGACCAAACTGAATTCTATTCTTGTACAATCAGCAGCTATGGGATCTTAGACAAGATGAATCATCTGCTGTAAAACAGAGATTATAATGCTGCTGCATGGATTATGCATGAAAAGCATTCCTGCATGCTAGTAGATGCTCCATAAATAGACATTATTTCATTAATAGTGTTATTAGTAATAGCAACTGCAAAATATTAACTCTGTTGCCATTTAAAATTTTTTCTTAAAAAAATTACGATAGTCAGCATATGAAAAATTTTTAAGTGCTTGCTGAATGAAAGAACACAGAATGAAGTCCAACCTACAAGGCAGCATGCAGTGAGCTCAGACAGAGGTGAGACACTACAGTAGGTCTCAGTTCTTCTGAGAAGGATTGTCTGGGAAAGAAGTTTTACCCTCCCACTTTTTTTCTGTCTCCATGGTTGTTCGAATAGCTTAAGGGCAACATAATTTTCCTGATCTCCAGAGCCACTCCCAAAGACAGATCTAATCCCATCATTCTGTTATTAAATCATAAAATAGGATTATTATGTTCCAAATTTCTGCCTATATGGTCCCAAGGCATTTAGATAAGGTTAGTAGAGCAAATAACTATCAAGTGCTTGGGCAGTAAACCAAGTTCAGGGCCTGATAATGCTGTGGTCCTGAGGTGAGAAAGGACTCCACTGGTTCCCCTCGGTCTCCATTCCCTGTAGCCTAGCCAGCCCACGCCCACGTTTCCCCATCAGGGCTAGCACTCCTGAGTTCCCCGCAATATGCTGGCACTCATCATTCCACTGTGCTGAAATCAAAGTTGGCGAGACTGTGGACAAGTGGTGGGCACCTGAGACCTTGCTTTGTTCTGCCATTGCTAAAGCCACATGATGTGTGATACATTTCAACTAGCTCTAAAGTTTCTCCTTTATCAAAGGAGAAGTGGATCCTTGAGAGCACAGACTGCAGTCAGAAATGTGTGGTTTCAGACCTCAGCTCTCCCTCTTACAAGCATTGTAACTTTGTACACATTAACTGGTTTCTGTACCTCACTGTTTTCATTTAAAATGGCAAAATTAATGTCACAGGCTAATTTGATAAGGGCCAATGAGACACTTCTAATGTACTTGTCAGAGCACAAAACACAAAGAATGTTGTTCTTCTAATGATGATGATTGTAAGATTACCCAATGTCTTTGTGTCAACAATTCTAATCCTCTATACAAGAACCCTAGCTTATTTATATCACATTATGGAAGTCAGGGATATATGGCAATGAACTGAGAAGAGAAACAGAAAATAGGATTCAGGTCTAAAAGAAGTAAGAGGAGACAGGAACTACCAATGTGAACTAGCAAAAAAAAGGAGATGCAATATAAAGGTAAAAGGGTTAATACTAAATAAATATTATCTAGCCCAGGCAGGATGCTAGAACCCTTATGCAGAAACTTATTAACTTCATTTAAATGAAGATGTGAATAGGAATCACTTTATATATTGGAGACATTTTCCACAATATGCACAAGCAAATTTGACTTGACAACTTCAAAAATGCACTATATCACATTTCATGAAATTAGAGGCAAATCTATAAATAAGATTTTGGGAAGCTCCTCATCAAAGAACAGTGCCTACAAGCATACACTTATTTCTGTGAGTCTGTTTCACAGAAATCTGAGAATGCTATTGCTTTAAAAATAGTTACCAAAATATAAAAGAAACAAAGGTCAGATTTTATCAGTACAAGGGAAAACAAGACAGAACAAGCAACTAAAGAAATGCTTCTTATCCCTGACTTCATGTTCTTCCAACTCAGTACCTCAGAGACCATTGAGTCAGTGGGAAGAAGATAAATTACATGCTAAACAAAGAACATGAAGTCCAAAAATCAAAAGGCTATGATAAGTCTATAATGTGTCTGTCTGGTTCATAGGGAGAGAAATTCACAAACTTGGCAAAGCACAAAGAGGGAAAAAGTAATAACTGTGTTATTTCAAAACTGGTGTTTAAAAATTACTTTTTTTCTAGAAAATTCAGTTCTTTGTTGTCAAACTTGTTTCCCTTGTATACAATAAAAACCAAAAGAGCAGTAAGAAGAGGTTTTAAAATCCAAAGTGGAAATTTGTATTCATTTCATCTAAATATGAAATTATTATATTCCTTTTTTTCTTCCAGAGGTAGTACTCTAAACTTGATCCCTCTGTTCTTACCTTCCCTATAAGGTATTGTATGCATCCATCAATTTTCATTTCACTATGAATTTCTGGTCCCCTAATTTCTGTTTCAAAGGCAGTGTCTAAATATATAGTGTGCTATAATGATAGTCATGATATAATCAATAGCATAACTTCTGAATCACCAAGAGGAGAATATGCATTTTATCTAGAAATTATACTACTCCCATATTAGCTCAATGTTTAACATCTCATATCATGAATACAGGGGTACTCAGGCCAGATCTAACAACCATGCTACCTCGCTAACAGATATTTTCTAGGTTATCAGTGACATTGATAGCAAGACTCTTTAGCTGGCTCCTACAAACTTTAAACTGAAAATAACTGCAGCAAAATTTTATTGGGAATAGTACTTTCAACTAAAACAATTTATAAATCTCTTCCAAATAAAATACAAGGGAAAAAAAGATGTTTAAGAGACACAGCTGAAGGAAGCCAAACAAAAGATGGCCCCATCAACACTATTTTTCCACATGAATATGACACTATCTCTTAAGTCAAAGTGCAAAACTATTCAGGGTGAAGACAAATCAAGAGAAGACAGCCAGCAGTACAGACTCCAGCCTAAAATACAGCATCTTTACCAAAATACGTTGGTTACAAGTAGGTCTTTGTGGGGTTGGGCAGAGGGCAAACAACTTTAAAATATTATCTCTATGTTACTCAAAAGAAGAGTGTGTTGAGATTTACAAAGAGTGTTCTAGATAATTTTTATATTCATGGATATTATATGAATATTGCAAGGCAGTATTCTCCACAGGTGCATAATTATAAAAGTTATTATATAGTTAGAAAACAGCATACTATAATGAGGTTAAACTTATAATGAGGTTAAAAAGGAATATTTATTTAATAACTTTCTTAATATTAAAACACTATGCAACTTCCTTTAGATTATTGTTTCATTTTATGTATCAAAACAAATTGTACTTACACTCAAAATTAGCTCTGATCTGTTTCAATACAAGTCTGGCTTAACTTAAGATTTATGTTTAATGATATAGCAATAAATTAAGCTTTAAAAAATGAAAATAATTGACTTGCCATCTATTATCAAATTTGCAATGTTTCCTCTAACAAACATATTTGAAACCTAGAAACTTACTTGATTTACACTGCAACATTGTGCTAAGTGACCAAGAAACTATTTAACAACATGTTCATCATTTCTATTGATTTCCTTACTTTCAAAGAATTTCGTCACTTTAACAATAACGTAATATTCTGTTACTGCAAGGGCTGATAACATTTGGCAACCCAAAACATGAACTTCAATGAGAACTTGCATAATTGCTGTTTTACTTTAATGGTTGCTGTGCAGAATGTAAGCCATTTGAAAGTTTACATTTAAACATCTGTAAGAACTATGACATTGAAGCCTAACCAGCCTTCAATAAATACCACAGGTTATTAACTTGAACTGCATTTCAGCAGACAAAGAGACCCACCTCAGGCTCAGGGTTAGCAGCTGCTCTTTTGACTTCAGTAGCTCACCCACTTTAAAACTGGTATAGCCCAGGAAGCTTCGCTGAAAATGAGAGAGAAGGAATGGCTTTCATTAACTTCTTAGGTTCTTAATACTTTTACTGTCACACCAATCACACAAAGTTAGTCTTTAGAAGAATGACATGTTAAATTTATTAGCCTGAAAAATATTTAACAGACAGACATGCGGTCATCAGTAATATATCCTCCTCATGGGATGAGGCTAGGGGAGCAAATGCAGCCTTTTTGTTAAAAATTAAGCGAACAGTAGCATGGATATAAAGAAAATGCATAGTCCAGAAACCAGGACTTTTCCACAAACTAATTTTCTTCCCATAGGAAAACAGGGATAAAAGAAAAGATGACAGACTTCCAGGATTTACCACTGCCACCTTTGTCCTTATGAGAATTCCTCAAGTCACTGGCAGCAACGACTTTGTATTCCACATATGAGCAAATCTGTTAGTTGGAGCTATTTTTATGTGACACTGTACAAGCTATAAATAGAAATGTTATATTTCTCCCCGACTACAGCAATGTTTAAAAGCATTTGTTTTCTTTTTTATTTCTTTACTAGCATGGGAAAATTTCATCCCATCATGCAAAAAAGAAAGGTACTTAGTTACATTTTCTAAAATTGCTTTTTCAACCTATCATACTGACTACTGACTATCTGTGAATACCTACTTTCTACACTCTTTGACTCATAATGTAAAGAATAGAACTCTAAACTGCTTTTTTTTTTTTTCCAGGATAATAATCTCTCATCTCTTTTTACTATTCCTGGCTACTTCTGATTTAAAAGTCACAATATTGTGTCGTGCCATAAATAGGATTTCTCACTTTCCCCTCAAGGTCAAAGTTAAACATGAAAATATCAAACCCATATTATTACCTAGGCCATTGCTGCCTAACCCATTATAATACTCCACAAGAAGTCAACGCTACATCTTCCAGAACATTTTCCCTCCACAGGCTTGTGGCCTGGCTGCACTAGAATGAAAGGTAGGGCTTAGTTCACCTGAGGTCAATTAGGTCTTTTACAGGAAAATGTGCAGTTATTCCACACAAAAAAGCTGTGTCTACACTGAGTGATTATGAGGCATAGGAAAGAAAAGCTGCGGGTCAGAATTTTTCTCCTTTTTTTCAAAGCTCTAACTTAGAAGCACTGTTTCAAAAGGCTGAAGGGCAAACATTTGAAATACAACTCAGTTCTAAAGTCAGGGATGATGCCTATCCATCATAAATGATAAATCCAGTTAACTAACCAGGAATTCAGAGATCCGGCATAGTTGCCAAGTCCCCAAAGCCAGGAGACTGTGAGACTGACTACTAGGTGAAGAAAGTCACGTGAAAATAGAGGAGCTGCAGAAATAAGCTCTGATGATGGTCAATTGGTGATGAAATGAGAGTGGATCAAGGCAGAAAGGGAAATCCAAGAGCCACATAAACAAAGCATGTAGGAATTGAGGGTGGAATCTCAGCAAGGGGCAGAGAGAACCTAGAAGACATGCAGCTGAACGGACGTTCATGTCACCTCATCGGAGAGCCATCCTACTTGGAGGAGCGCCCTACCCAAGCGTGCACTCCACCATTCTCTATCCCTTATCCTCTTGTATTTTTCTCAAATGGGACTTATCACCACCTGATACATCTCATACATAATTGGTTATTTTGTATTCTACTGAAAACCAGAAATTTGTAGCTCCACAGGAACTCTGTTTTGTTTTCTGACAGACTTCTACTGCCTGATGCACAGTAGGCATGTGATAAATATCTACTGACGAATGAATGAATGAATGGATGGCATAGACACTAGCTTTCAAATAAGTCATTCTATTAGATATAGAAGAAATGCTCTCTCTGCAGATCTTTATAAACTACCATAATTCACTGAAATGTGGGAAATCAAATGATTTTAGTATGCAGATTATATGCTATTGCAGTGAATGTCATTTCAGCATATTGCCTTTCACAGAGATGTGTATCTCACTTCCTCTGTCACTGATAATCAGGATTTCGTATTTAAATCCCCACTCCTTACTCATTAGCCATACTTAAAGAAAACTCTCAACCAATCAGAAATTTTCTGATGTCTCAAAATTCCAAATTATTTTCTCTGTTTTTTGAGATTTTGAAGGTATGCACAGTTTTGGAATTAATAGAACAAACCACATGTGACATGAATATTACTGTGGTCTTTTCATCAATCTGAGCAGCAAATGCCCCAGACAGGAATGTAGCAATGCAAGACAAGTGCAGTGGCTATTTTCAGATGCAAGAGACACACCATGAGGCATAGCTGAAAGGAGTTTGTGACCACAGCCCCACAACCGCTGAGTCTCTCTCCTGCCCACCACATGAGATGCTCCCAGGGAAGCAGGACCTTGGCTTGCTCATCTCCAAGCCAAGCCTCAGTGTCTGGAACAAAGGGGCTGTGTGCTTGTAAGTGTGACAGTTGAATGGCCTTGTGTCAGTCTTTTGCATCACAACTGTCTGTCACATGCTTAATCTCAAAGATAACAAGGGAGCTTACAGAAATCATACAATATGTTAAAACTCAGCTTAAGTAGGGGGATCATGGGAAGAAGGCAGCATGAATAGTTCAGAGGAAATCTCCTCCCCAAAACATATATATTTATGAAAATACAATAAATACAACTATTCCTAAAAGAGACACAAGTGGATGCAGTACAACAGCCAGGATACATCTACATCTGTGAGAACTCAACAACACATGCAGTGGGTAAGATACAAGCCATGGCCAGGAGGGACCCGAATGCTCCCCCACCCCAAAACCCAGTGGGAAGAAAGGAACAGGGAAGGAATGAAAGCCCAGGACTGCTAAACAAACAGCTCTAGAAATCCACACCTGGAACGCAGACACAAGGTGCATGGGGTACTGGATATAAGACAAACGGAAAAGCAAAACATGTGGGCAGGTCCCCACAACCGGCGCCATGGAGACAAAAGAAAAGAGAGTGCTTTCTGCAAGTCTTAAAGAGACAGGGACCCCATAGCTGGACGAAGTTGCCCCGGCACACTCAGCCAGCAGCTGGGAATTCTGGGGAAACTTAGGTACCCTAAACCCCAGGGAGGCAGGGAAGCTCTGAAGCCCTGCACAGCACTAAGCAGCCTGACAGTCGTTCCTCCAACTGGCACAGACCCCGACACACCGGCCCAGTAGCAGGAGAGGGTGGAGGAGCCGGAAGAGACCGGGAGCAGATCCGTGCCCCAATGGCACCAGAGGGGAACAAGACAGGCTTGTGCAAGCCCACAGCGGTGTGACCGAACAGCCCAGGTGCGGCTCACACGCACAGGCAGCAGTGGAGCCAGAGGAGCCCAGTAGAGGCCCGTGCGCACCTGCAGAGGAGCCAGAGGAAGCAGGCATGCTCCCAACAGCTGACAGGAATCACAACCCAACACACAGCCACCCAGGCCAAACCCAAAGGCCGTTGCTGCAACACAGCTGTCCGGCAGGGTTGCTGCTAGCATGGAGGAGCGTACCTGGAGTGCCTGCCACTCCCCGAAGGGCTCCATGCTGCTCTGATGGAGAACCTGCCCACAGCAGCTTAGGGGACGAACCCGGGGGCTGCTCCAGGAGTGCAGGTAACCATCACAGGTGGCGAAGAAGGGCAAGGCATCCAGCAATCAGGAAAGGACTTTCTTCTCCCAGCTAACACACCCGCAACCTGCCTACAGCCACCGCTATCACCATGAAAAGGCAAAAAAATCTGGTCCAGTCCAAGATAGTTACAACACTTGAGAAAGGATCTGCAGAGGCAAACCTAACCAGTCTCCCTGAAAAACAATTCAAAATAATGATCATAAACATGCTGACAGAGATGCAGAGAAATATGCAAGAGTTAAGGGATGAAGCCCGGAGGGAAACTACAGATGTCCGGAGGGAGATTACAGATGTGTGGAGGGAGATTACAGCAGTGAAACATACTCTGGAAGGATTTATAAGTAGAATGGATAAGATGCAAGAGGCCATTGATGGAATAGAAACCAGAGAAAAGGAACACATAGAAGCTGATTCAGAGAGAGATAAAAGGATCTCCAGGAATGAAACAATATTAAGAGAACTGTGTGACCAATCCAAAAGGAACACTATCCACATTATAGGGGTACCAGAGGAAAAAGAGAGAGAAAAAGGGATAGAAAGTGTCTTTGAAGAAATAATTGCTGAGAACTTCCCTAAACTGGGGGAGGAAATAGTGGCTCAGACTACAGAGGCACACAGAACTCCCGAGAGACAGGACATAAAGAGGACAGCACCAAAACACATAATAATTAAAATGGCAAAGATCAAGGACAAGGAAAGAGTATTAGAAGCAGCCAGAGAGAGAAAAAAGGTCACCTACAAAGGAAAACTCATCAGGCTATCATCAGACATCTCAACAGAAACCTTACAGGCCAGAAGAGAATGGCACAATATACTTAATGCAATGAAACAGAAGGTCCATGAACCAAGGATACTGTATCCAGCATGATTATCATTTAAATATGAAGGAGGGGATTAAACAATTCCCAGAAAAGCAAAAGTTGAGGGAATTTGTCTCCACAAACCACCTCTACAGGGTGTCTTAGAGAGACTGCTCTAGATGGAAGCACTCCTAAAAAGAGCACAGAACATAACACCCAACATATGAAGAATGGAGGAGGAGGAAAAAGAAGGGAAAGAAATAATCATCAGAATGTGTTTATAACAGCTCAATAAGTGAGTTAAGTCAGACAGTAAGGTAGTAAACAAGCTAACCTTGAACCTTTGGTAACCACGAATCTAAAGCCTGCAATAGCAATAAGACATATCCTTCAATAATCACACTAAATGTAAATGAACTGAATGCACCAATCAAAAGACA